GAAAAGACTCTTCCAGACTGAAAAGAAGAGAACAAAACAACATGTGCACTTTTGAGAGATATTTACCCGCTTTTTTTTGCCGAATTTCTAAAGAAAATATGCACTTTGAAGGCAAAATTTGATACAAATCACTCTAGTAACTTTTTAACGCAAAAAAAAACAGAGCTCTAGGCTTTTAGGCTATTTGGAGCTAGTTTAGAGCTCGATAGCTAGAGCTAAATAAAGAAAATCGAAAACAACAGAGATTTTTATGGGATAAACAGGAAAATGCACGTAGTGAAATTTCGGGAAAACTATCGATTGAGAACTATTGTTTATGAGGAAGTAGATCTGTAATCTGGATCCAGAACAAGGCTCAAGCTGTCTCTGTAGACTCTGTAGACATCAGCTTGGCCTAAGCCTTACCCATTTTTTGGTTACTTCTTGAAATGAATAATGAACCAATCAATCTATGGTTTATTTTATCAGAAAGCTCTATTATTTATTTACAAATTGCCCTTTAAGAAACTCTGAAAAGCTCGCGTTAGTTCATTTTTTTAAAGCTGTGAAATCGAGGAGTCAAAAACGATGCAAACTCAAATTTGAGCATCATTTACATACACAAAATGCCCCATAAAATTCTTATAATTCTTTTTTATAAACTCTTACCGTAAATACTGTAATAGTACCCCACCCCCATGATGACGGTGCGGAGTATTGGGTAGTCTAGCTTTGAACGAGTTTTTCTCGATACTGGTTTAGGCTACAATGCGCGCTTAGGTATCAAAAAATAGCCCTGAATTTCAGCTATTTTTTGATATTTAAACGAACACTGTAGCTTAAACCAGTGCCGAGAAAAACTCGTTCAAAGCTAGACTACCCAACACTCCGCACCGTCATGATGGGGGTGGGGTACTATTACAGTATTTACGCTGGGTACTATTACAGTATTTACGGTAATTATTCTTGACTAGAAAAGTCACACTTTTCTAGTCTTAATGTTGTTTTTTCTCGAGTTTTCAGAAAACAAAAACGGAGGAAAATAAAGCTTCAATTTTATCAATTTTACTCGATGTTTTGTGTTTCGAAAGAAAAGCCAACGGATTTTTCTTTTCATTAATATCCAAATAGGTTGAAATGAATAAATTTATATACTATTATACGGTGAAGTTAATTGACTGTAAAGTTACAACGAAGAACTCTTTCCCGGGTAATTTTGTGTCTGTCTAACAGCTTTCTTTCTGTCTAACAGCTTTGTTCATAGTTTAAATTTAGGTCTTATGAATTAGATCATAAATCTTAGCCAGTATAGATTCTGATTCGAGATTCTGCTAAACTTTAGCGTTGAAATGGTTAACAAAGTTTTGTTCTCAATCGAATAGCTCTTTTGGATCAGGGAAATAGTGTTATATAGCTTTCTCAAAGAGAAAAACTCTCCGATCTTTCTTGTAATCTTTAAAGAAAGAAGGAAAGTCAGCTTTTTAAATCAGTTTTTTGAAAATTTAGATAAACAAGGGGGTTTTGGATATTTGGATATTAAGAGCTGACAGAGATATTAAGAGTTTTTGGATATTAAGAGCTGACAACACAAATTAAGAAACTACCGAGTCAAGGCAGTGCTTAAATCTTAAAGAACTTAAAGAAATCAAAAGATATTCAGTCGTGGCTAATTTTTATAACAACTATAATTCAAATCCACATTTACTCTTTTTAAATAAACTAACCATCAATGCGCCGATCACAAAAATCAATAGCATAAAGAACGTTTCTTTGAAGAGCTTCATCTCGGCTGAAATGACAAGTGAAATTGTGAAATTTGAAGTTAATTCGCATTAAAATTCATTAAATTTCATTAAAATCCATTAAAATCCATTAAAATCCATTAAAATCCATTAAATTCCATTAAATTCCATTAAATTTCATTAAATTCCATTAAATTCCATTAAATTCCATTAAATTTCATTAAATTCCATTAAATTTCATTAAATTCTATTAAATTTCAAACCTTTTCATATAAAATTACGAATATTCGTAGCTCAAAGCGCATAAAATAGCTTGCTTTCAGTGTACTGAATGAAAATTCTGGTTAAGAATGGCAAAATCGTCTCCCCTCAATTTGCACTTTGTCCATCGTTTCGAAATCGGCAAAAATATTCACACTTTCTTTTCTCTAATCCAAAAAAAACTTGTACTTTATAGAAAACAACAAACGTCTGGGACAGTTGCACTTTTAGGGAAAAGAAAACAAAAGAAAAGAGTCTTGTTTACTCTTTTTGAGTCCCTCTTTGGCTTTTCCGCTTTGTTTTTAGTCTCTTCAGAAATGTCTAGGCTCTCTAACATTTGAATCCGATAAAAACATGTTCAAAATATGAACTTTTGATTTTGATGAGGGATCTTTGAGATAATTTTGAATGAGGTAATCATTTTCAGAGAAACGAACAGACTTTGAACAGTCAAAAGATTTAGGAATTGATAGACTTTGAGAAAAAAAGCAACCAGATCCTCGAACATCAGTTAGAATACGATAAAATACACTTAAAGTAAGAAATCTTAACCTTGTGAACCTTGTGAACCTTGAGCCTTTCCAAATTAATGCAAACTTGTTCACTTCTGGTAGCTGAACAGGATTTCTTACTGTAGCAGTGAAATGCTTCAACCGGCCCTAGGATCTGTAATAAAGAAGTGAAGGAATTGGCAAGAAAAAGCAGAAAATTGAACCCTTGACCTTTTGCTTTCCAATTTGCTTTGCAATTGCTCTAACCATTGAGCTATTCAGTATAAACTTGTCAAGATAAAGAAGGAAAGAAGAAAGAAAGACGGAAAAACCAGTCATCTTGCATAGATCTGGCGCTGACAACCGTCTTTGCTCACTGTCAGTTCTGAAATGAGCTTTTAAACTGATCACTGACAAAAAAAAAAAACAATTTAAGCTAGCTGAGCATTATATAGTTTCCGCTTTCAAATTTCCTTGCACCTTTTCTAGACAGAATTTCTTTTCTCAACTTTGAAGTTGCGTTGAGGTTGGTGCTGGGTGACTAAAACAATCAGAGTTTGTATTTCTTGAATAAAACATTGAAATAGAGATTTTTGTGAACGATTTGTACAGCAACAAAGAGAATCCCAATCTCAAAGTACTCTAAGAGCAATCGGTTGCTCATGTAGCGCGCAAGTCGACCTTTTGTGTGGATGAGGTTTATGAGTTTAGCATAAATAGAAAGATCTTTGATGGATCTGTTCCAAATTCCAGTCATACATGAGGCCAGGCCAGACTACATCAATACTATGTTCATTGTGTGGACTTTTTCACACCTCACTCAAGTGAGTTGATAGCTGAATGCTAAAACGTATCCCAAAGGGCCGTAGCTACCCCAAAGGGTAGCGATTCAGTGAGTCAACTATCTTTTGTCCTTTTCGGAAACCTTTTTGTCATTCATTTGAGCGTTTATTCATTCTGTCAACCTTGCAAGCTTCTGCTTATTTCTATGAATCATCTTTGTGAAACCATTATATCCATACTATTTGTTAAGCGTTTAAATGTGCGCATAAATTATTTAAATCAAGTGAAAGGGCATAGACACAACTCACTCAAAACTTGCACATTATTCTCTTAGTTTGTGTATCCATGTGTCATGCCTGGTTTGATTCCTAGGTTCTAGGTGAGCCAGGACCACAACCTTTCGAGCCGCCCTAGGATCACAATCGCTGACTGGGACTCAAGGTAAACTTTTAAATAGTTCGGTTTTAAGTTTCTTTCAGGTCACAAGCATTGCAACTGCACGAATGGATGTGTGAACGGGCGATGCCCCTGCTGGAAAGCCAATCTACAATGCAACAGCCGATGCCACAAGAGCAACACCTGCAAGAATAAGTAAATTTCAGTTTGTTTTGGTATGTTAATGTTTTTTATGTTAATATTTGTTTTTATTAATGTTTGTTTACTCAATAAAATTTGAAATTTAAAGCCTCAAAATGCAAAAAAAACATTCAGAGATGATGAATGCAAAAATAGATCAAAACTAGTAATATTTGCAACTTTGCATAGAGCAAGTGTAACTCAAGCTTTCATTTTGAGACTCTGAGACTTCATCGGCTCAGATGAAGGCCAAAGGCTATAAAAGGGCCCTTTTCGTCATTCGTCAAAGGCACGGATTTAATCGATCTTCAATCCGTTTCCGATGGAGAATTCAAGTTTTTGATGGTCTACCAGGATCATTTCATAAAGTTCGTCGTTTTGCGAGCATTGCAAAGGAAAACACAATTTGAAGTTGTCGATCATCTAATGGAAATATTCGGAACGTTTGGAGCCCCAAAAATTCTTCAGTCCGACAACGGAAAGGAGTTCGCCAACAGATCGGTAAGCTTTTACCTTTGTGTCCTATCGAATTTCTTTATGACGCTTTATTTTGTTTGCTTTTAAGTCAAAGAACTCGTGAACCGGTGGTATTATTGTTAAATTTTTGTTTTATTATTGTTTATAAACTCGCTTTTTGGTATTATTGTTTATTTTTGTTGTTTAGTTTGGTCGAAAAATGCAACTGCAACTAGAATGCGTTTTTAGCTTTCAAGCGCCTTTTAGAGAGCTTGAGTTTGAGGACTTGAGTCAATACATAATTCAAGATTTCATTTTTGAGACTTAATCGGCTAGCCGAAGAAGGTTTCGCTAGCGAAAAAATTTGAGACTTCTTTGGCTATATATATATCATCGGAAAAGGCCGCGGGACCTAATCATCCTTCCCTTATTTAGTACTCAACCTAATATTTTGTGCAAATTTTGAGTAATAAATTTCAATCGTAGCACAGAGTCAAGAATGTAATAATTCGAAATTCAAATAAAACACAAAAAAAGTCGATCAATCAATAACCATTCTTAACAAACCATCCTCAAGAAGATTGCTTTGTCTCAAAGATTTCTTCTTTTGTCCTATTTTACTTATCATTTTCAAGCAATCCATCATCTCCCACAAAGCGAACATAGAGTAGATTGGTGGAAAATTTTCTCAATCATTTCCGTAAAATTTTCGATGTCAAATTATATTCCCGAATATTTCTTAGCTGATAAACCATCTAATGGAGATTCTTTAAACGTTTGGAATCTTATTTTCAGCAAATTTTCACTTTAGGATGACTCGAAATTCATTTTGAACACTCCTTTAACATGGGAATTGATTGAAAAGAATTTGAAGAAATCTCTCAATACATCTTCGACTTTTGGGCAGAAAAAAACTGCTGTAAAATGCGGAGATGGAGGGGTTTGAAGGTTAAATTCTCAGCCAATCTCCCATTTTATAGGGATTTGTCTCATCGGTCATTTTGTTGACTTTTGATTGGACTCCAAATTCGGTCGAACTCCCAGAGAAAGCCATATTGAAGGTGGGACATTGAAATGGCTTTTAAAATGCTTCTGGCCATTCAATCTTCAAAGCAATTAACCCTAGGACTTGTCGTTCTTTTCTATCAAAGTAACGGCTATACTTGACGCTATCCATAGAGTTAGGATGACTCGAAGTTCATTTTGAACACTCCATTAGCATCTCGTCAGATTATACATTGTGGCCCACACTTCAGAGGGTCTAGGTCGGCCAAAATTTAGTCAATCGTTTTGATTTTTCTGGAGGCAAATCTTAAGTATGTCACCTAGAACGGTGCTCATTATCTAATCGTTTCAACCTTTCAACTTTTTTATATGGCTTTCCAAAGTTGCGAGCCGAGTTTCGCTACTCACTTATGGGATTCCAGGACGCATATTTAAGATTTACCTCCAGAAAAATGAGAACGATAAACTGACTTTTCGTTGAACTTTACTATTACAGTTTTGTGCTATAATTGTGGACCACCCTGTAATAGTAAAGCTCAACGAAAAGTCAGCTTATCGTTCTCATTTTTCTGGAGGTAAATCTTAAGTATGCCTCCTGGAACGATTGACTCAATTTTGGTCAATCTAGGCCTTTTAAAGTGGCTTGCTATAATTGTGAGCCACCCTGTAGAAAAAGGATTTTTTTAAAGTGAGTAGCGAAACTCGGCTCTCAACTTTGGAAAGCCATATAAGAAAGTTGAAAGGTTGAAACGATTAGATAATGGGCACCGTTCTAGAAGACATACTTAAGATTTACCTCCAGAAAAATGAGAGCTATTGACTCAATTTTGGCTAATCTAGGCCTTCTAAAGTGCGGCGCTATAATTGTGAGCAACTCTGTAGACAAAGGATCTTTTTATGACTAGGTAGTTGAAGAGCATTCTATACCTTTAATCTCTTTCAACGTGTCTCCAGCTTTGTCAGCTGCATCACGAGCTCGGTCTGGGAATTTTAAAGTAAAAAACTACTGCGAGTCAACGAATTTGCGAACAAAATCAACACAATTGAACTTTACTATTACATGGTGGTCCACAATTATAGCGTCGCGCTTCAGAGGGTTTAGATCGGTCAAAATTTGGTCAATCGTTCTGATTTTTTTGAAGGTAAATCTTAAGTATGTCTCCTTGAACGGTGCTCATTATCTAATCATTTCAAGCTTTCAGCTTTTTTATATGGCTTTTCAAAGTTGAGAGCCGAGTGTCGCTCGACTCATTTATGGGATTTTAAAAGTTTCAGTTTTTTTGATAAAAAGTCTTTAAGATTTTAATGATTTTCAATTAATCATATTTAATTATGACATTTAAAAGCTATAGATCCTGAAAAATGAGATTTTTTTTTTGTTCTTTAGTGGATTCTCTGTATCCCCATAAACCGTTCAAGTGAAAACAGACCATATTAAGTGCGTTTTGTTGACATTTCTCAAGAACTTTTGCATTTAAACTGCGTAGAGCACGTGCAATTTTGTTCATTAACATAATAAATTCAATCTCAACGAGATTTTGACAAGATAGCTCTCAAAAATCCCATAAATGAGTAACGTGCCGAGAGAAACTCGGCTCTCAACTTTGGAAAACCAAATAAAAAAGTTGAAAGCTTGAATTGATTAGATAATGAGCACCCTTCCAGGAGACATACTTAAGATTCCCTTCCAGAAAAATCAGAAAAATTGACCAAATTTTGGCCAACCTAGGCCTTCTGAAGTGCAGAGCTATAATTGTAGGGCCACCCTTTATACAGGGTGACCAGAAATAACGTTGCGGCCTAATTTAGCCTATTTTTTAAAAATCCAAAAAGATTTTGTAACAGAAACAATTTTTTAATAACAGAAACACGTAGCAATCGCAGTGCTGCCTGGAGAGGAAGTTGACCAAATCCGATCGACCAAATGGTGGTATTAGCTTTGCTCCACCGAGAAGAGCTTCTCGTCAGAAAACAGGATTCGCTCCCAGTGTGAAGTTGCGGCCCGCTTGAGAAGCTCTCGACATCTTTCGAGTCGAACTCGTTTGTTGTCGTCGTCGAGTTGTTGCCCTTGCTTGAGCTTGTAAGGGTGAAGATTGAGCTCATTTTTGGCCATAAGTCGAACCGATTCGCGAGCGATCCCCATCTGTCGAGGGATCTTTCTCATTGAGACTTGTGGATTCTGGGCCACGTGCTTCTAAATCACTTTACGATTTCTGGAGGTGTTGACTGTTCTTTTTATGCCTCTTCCTGGACGATCTCCATCGTTGCCAAGCTCCTGGTATCGCTTAATCGCTTTTGAGACGAGCTGATGAGAAACACGTAGCAATCGCGCGATCGCACTCGCGCATTGACCTTGACGATGAAGCTCCAGAATGAAGCTCCAGAATGGCAGATCCCTTGTTTGTCATCCTGTAAAAAAATGAATAAACTTTTGAAACAAAGTAAAACAACAAAGAAACTAATAAAAACAATCACAGAGAATAGGTCAAAAATAAATTTGTCTCCCAAAATTGAAACTTTGAGGATTATAGGCTGCCGAAAATCCCGCAACGTTATTTCTGGCCACCTTGTAATAAATCCCGTTAGATATGATCGAAATGTTACATAGGATATCTTAGGATTAGTATAACTGAATTGGAGAAGTTAAATGAAGAAATGAAACGATAAAGCTTCCTTTTGGCATTGAGATTAGGGTAGAGTTTACTATTTTGAATTGTGTATGGAAGGGATCAGAATATCAGATCAGAATATCAGATCAGAGCAGATCGAATCGGGCCAAAGACAAACCGATCGAATAACATGCCTAAAGCCTGCCTAATAACCAGTGAATGAAAGAGTGGACGAAGATTCTGATTATGAGAGATAGATTGCAAAAAGGGGTGGAAATTGAAGTGTTAGATTAGAATTGAGAAGTGAGAAGAAATTGAGAAGTGTTAGATTAGACTTGTTAGACTTGTTAGACCTGTTAGACTTGTTAGACTTGTTAGACTTGTTAGACTGGTTCCAGGTGGACTTGTTAGACTTGTTCCAGGTAGACTTGTTCCAGGTAGACTTGTTCCAGGTAGACTTGTTCCAGGTAGACTTGTTCCAGGTAGACTTGTTCCAGGTAGACTTGTTCCAGGTAGACTTGTTCCAGGTAGACTTGTTCCAGGTAGACTTGTTCCAGGTAGACTTGTTCCAGGTAGACCTGTTAGACTTGTTCCAGGTAGACTTGTTAGACTTGTTCCAGGTAACAACCAGCGACTCCGTTGCGGGAATTAGAAGAACTCTGAAACAGGGACAAGACGAAAAGCAATTATTGCTCGAGAAAGCGGCTCAGGTTTGAAAAACGCCAAATAGCTGTATTTCGATTTCAAGCCAAATTCGATTTCAGATTCACGACAACGAATTCTTTATCTACTCAAAAGCCGACCAAGACTGGGAATTTCCCTCAGAAATCGGGATGCCAAAGTTCTATTGTGGAATTTCATTTGATAAAGTCGACTTGAAAGCAGGTTTCTTTCATGAAAATGCTTTAAAAATCTGCTTTAAATTTAAATTCAGGCTATTTCTTGGTTGAATACATTCCGGACGTGATCTTTGTTCAATATTATCATAACTTGAGTGTCTCATCAGTGAAAAAAGCCGTCAAAATGATTGCTCGATTGACAGCACATGGTGCAATCGTTGACTCAATGACACTAACTTTATTTTAGTAATCTCAAATCAACGAATTGTTCAAGAACACGAGGAAACGACAAGTCCGGGAGCTGTTGCTTATTTGGAAGGAGCTTACAATGTGCAGGTTGGGAAAAGGATGAAAGTGACAACTTTAGACTACATTAGACTCTTCATCAAGACTAGAATGTGTTTTCTAAAACAGTTTTGAACGAGACAAGTTTTGAAAACTACCGTAATCTGTTTGAGGCTTGGCTTCTGCTAACCACTTGACTTGTATCATTTCAAATCTATCACTTGACTTGTATCGTTTTCATTTCAAACTCACTCACTTAACATCAGCATCCACACATCCTCCACACATCATAAACGTTGCTGCACAATAGTTCATTGGACAATGAAATATCATATTCGAAAAACGATCGTCACTTTCGCGCGTCTGTAACTCCCTTGTCTTTACCGTATTTCTAAATATTAATATTACCATTGTGTAGCCCTTGAAAAGAGCTTTCAGAAAATGTATAACACTAATAGTTTAAACTCAAAGACAAGGGAGTTACAGACGCGCGAAAGTGACGATAGTTTTTCAAATATGATATTTCATTGTTCAGTACTGTACATTGCTCTAGTCAAGTTTCTAAAGTAAAAAAAAGTTCAACCTTTGAAAGCCAAGATGTTTGAACAAAAAAAACCGAAATTTGAATCAATCTTTGTTGATAAACTTTGCGTAACTTCCCAAACAAATCGAAACTTTCAGACTTGTCACAACAATCTCCTCAACATGGCCGAAAAGTTTCCGAAACTCAAAAAAGCCGCCGATCTTCTAGAAAATCTCGTCCCAATCGCTGCGGATTTTGAGAAGAGATTGAAAGAATGCCTAAAATATTGTACTCGTTTTTAAGAATCCATTTAATTTAACTTGATTTCAGGCTCATATCCATCACTCACTCATTTCGATTGTCATTTGGGGAATTTCCTATGGATTTTAAATGGAAATGAGCTGAGCCCAAGAGCGATCATCGATTGGCAAGTAAGGAAATCTACTATTGTATTATAATATTTATAATATTATAATAATTATACAGGGTGACCAAGAATTACCGCAACAACTTTTTGGACAAGTATCTAAGTATCCGGGAAATGTCTAATTTATTTCAAAAGTGGCAAGTGTTATATAGAAAATTGTAGCCCTAATTCGTGGCTACATTTACCTACCAAAAACATCCCGATTCGACTTATACAACTCATTTAACAAGCGCTTGAATGAGCGCTAGTCGACATCTCTCCGGCGAATCTGTCATTTGGCCGTTTTTCTCTATTAAAAGTTTTAAGAAAAGCTTTTCAATATTTCTTCAATGCGAAAATAGTGTTTAGCATCACTTAATAACATTAAGAATCACAGGTAACTGCTTTGCTTAAACTGATATAACCAAAATCAAGTTGATGTCAAGCTCCTTTTGGAGGAGTAGGGAATTTGGGAAAATCTGGTTAGAGCTGTAATGATGAAGCTGACAATGTGAACAAAAGGTTTATTGTTAGCTGATAATGAGATATAAAGAATGCGATGCGATACAGAACGACTACAGGGTAACCGCAAATTATAGCGACAACTTTTTGGAAAGTAGCTAAACATTTGTTTGATTTGATTTGTTTTTTTTGGGCAAAATTACCACAAATTTGACTGAAAAAAACGGCCAAATGACAGATTCGCCGGAGAGATGTCGACTAGCGCTCATTCAAGCGCTTGTTAAATGAGTTGTATAAGTCGAATCGGGATGTTTTTGGTAGGTAAATGTAGCCACGAATTAGGGCTACAATTTTCTATATAACACTTGCCACTTTTGAAATAAATTAGACATTTCCCGGATACTTGTCCGAAAAGTTGTTGCGGTAATTCTTGGTCACCCTGTATAAAAAAGCAATATTGGTCTGTCTGTCTGTTTGTATGGGCATTTTCTCAGCCGTGTTTTGACCAATAAAGCTACAACTTCTTTAGAAAACCTTAGCAATACATTGTAGTTGTGGCATTTAGAATAAAAAATTCAAAATTCAAAATTGAATGGCACAAAAGGGGGTCGAGCCCGGATTGTGTGAGCCGTAGAGAAGCGACTGCGCCATGACAATGACACGAATGACAAAAGCCAAAAAAAACTCGGCATTAGGCGGGTTTTTCGGCTGGTTTTGAACCTAATCTAATAAAGATTGGAACAGTAATTGTTCTTATTCACTGAAGCGATTTTCAGACTTCCCATACCGATAATCCATTGGTGGATCTCGTGAGAATCACTTTCACCTCATTGTCGAAAACGGATTTCAATGAAAAGTCAGATGTACTTTATGTTCAAAATGTAAACACACCCTTTCTGGCCCACTCTTGAAGATTTGAGTGCAGTAGAACGAATGAGTTGCGACTTTTTTTTTAACACAAAACACTCACGATTCTTTTATCCTACTTTGCTTCTCAAATTCATCCTCTTTTCTGTCTTAAAGACATCTAGAAAAACTCAAATTGTTACGCAGAACATGTAAAATATATTTTTAGTATCTATTCTCTCATCAAAATCTACTATGATACTTTGAAGAAATACTCGATTGAAAAATTGCCTTGGGAAAGTTATGATGAGGTGATGATGATGAGGAAAGCTATGATGAGGCTTTAAAAAAATTACCATAGCTTTTAAAATCATTTCAGTATTTTAGTTTACTTGAAATATATTAGAAAAATATTGAAATAATACTTTGAACTAAGTTTAACTTCAAATCTTTGATAGAACTATAATAATATTTTGTAAATGCTTTTGTTTGCTTTTCTTTAGTTTAAATTTCAGTTTGTGCGCTCCTTTGAGCACGTTTTCCCATTGGTGGCAACAAGAATGGCGCCACTTTTTGCTTTGGATCAATTCATTTCGATGATTTTGACAAAAGTCCCAGGTGAGACTTGTCGAAATTTGAATTGATTTGGAAACAAACCTTGTTATCTTTCTAGTTGATGAACATCCAAAGGCTGCAAAGAATATCCATGAGAAAATGGAAGCGGCAATCGAATTCGCTGTGAAATGCGTTCAAAAATGGGAGATTCGCTTTTGAAACTCTTTTGGTGTAAAGAAATATTGCTCGCGTGCTTGGTACTCTTCACTCTTCACACGTTATTTCTTGTTTCGAGATATCTGATCTCACTTGAACTAAAAACCACTTTATTCAATAGCCGACTGACTCAGAATCTTTGGGCTCTCACTTGAGCAACTTTCACACAAGATCGACAATTGAATTAAAAGCGACGATTAAAAACAGAAACAACTTCGTCCTAATTAGGACACAACTTTCGCACAATGAGAGGAAAGCAGAAAGAAAATGAAAGATAACAAAAAACAAATGAACAACAATTCCCTTATATAGGCCTTAACACAAGATACTCAGCTAACAAGCTACAAAACAATAAATGATTTGGGGCGCGAAATAGAATAAAGGCGCACCGATTTCCTCAATACTTTTCCAATTTTTAGGCTGTCAGAGTTAGATAACTTTTAGTGGCTATTCGCCACATTTGAAAACAATTTTTTTTGCAAACTTTGCGCATAATTTTTGATTAGACTTTGGTTCCCATGTAGTTCTTTGTAGTACCTATTTGGCTCCTATTTGGTTCCTATTTAATTCCTATTTAGTTCCTATTGGTTCCTATTTGGTTCCTATTTAGTTCCTATTTAGTTCCTATTGGTTCCTATTTGGTTCCTATTTGGTTCCTATTTGGTTCCTATTTGGTTCTTATTTGGTTCCTATTTGGTTCCTATTTAGTTCCTATTTGATTTCCTACGTAGTTCCTATTTGGTTCCTATTTGTTTCCTATTTGGTTCCTATTTGTTTCCTATTTGGTTCCTATTTGGTTCCTATTTGATTTCCTACGTAGTTCCTATTTGATTCCTACGTAGTTCTTTGTAGTTCCTATTTGGTTCCTAATTGATTTCCTACGTAGTTCCTATTTGGTTCCTATTTGGTTCCCATGTTCCTCTTAAATAAGCTATCAAAAAATGCAGAAACAAAGTATTTTCATAAGATTTCAACGACGTGAAAACTAAATTTCTAATGAAAATCTAATTTCAAATCCATTCGAGTTTAGGCCGTAGAAATGAAGACTGTTTTGTGACTGTTTCGAATCTGAACTTGGCTTGGCTTTGGTTTGAATTGGCTTGGGCTTGGGAAACTGGCTGAAACTGAAAATGCTCTATGCTCACAAATGATGATTTGTGAGCAGGACTGGACCTAGAGCATTTTCAGAAAGTGTCAATGTGTCAGGATTGACTTATCACTTAAGTTGAACTTGCTGTCCTTTAAAATAAACTTTTCAACCCTTTTTTACAAAGTAAACGAGTTCGAAAGTGTAAAATATCATATCACATCCATCACTCAACCAAGAAACACAATTTTGAACTATTTTTAGAGTTAAAAATTTACGTTTATTTTGGACTTAACCATACAAGAAACTTATCTCCAAAAAAAACTCTCAAATTTGTCTTTTTGATTAGCGAATGGGATAGTGTGACGTCCAGGATGAAAGAAAAACGCCGAAATTGGCCGGCATTTCGTTTCCCTTTTCGCGGAAAGACGACGCGATTCGGCGGGGTCGATTCTGGTGCAAAGAATCTCTGTACTTTGCTCCTTGCAAAAGAATCGTTTCCAATCTGTGACATCCAGAACTCATTTTTTGATTACTACATTTTTTTCCAGCACCTCAGGATTAACCATAAAATCGAGGTGGATCAATTACGCAAAATCTCGAATCGAATTTTTGCTCATATCATTCCAATGCTTATTCCATTCTTTCTTGTGCCTTCCAATTAGCTGTAAAAGTTGTAAATTTATTTATTTTGCTAATGGCAAAGCAGACAAAATTGAGGGATCTCTTAATTGTCCGGAATTAGTCGGAAAAAATTGGCTTTTTTTTTCCAAAAATCGATGTTTTTCTTTAAATACAATTCTAATTCTAATTCTAAATGCAATTCTTGAGATGGGAGATCGGACAGCACTCGAAATGCACTCGAAAAAGCTGATGAATTTGATCGACGAATGAATGACATTGACAAGCACATTTTTTTGTCATTTATCGGAATTGTTTATAAGAAAACGAGTTTTGTGCCTATTTTGACAAGCTGAGAAATCTCAGGACTTACCTGGGAACAAAATAAGAAAAAGGTAAGGCTACTGTGGATAAAAAAAAAACAAATTTCAAACTCGGGACAACCATTTTCACATTTCCAACACATTTCGGCTATTTCCACAAAAATCTATTTAATTGAATGACAAAGATTGCCTCAAACACATTCGCGGTAACTCGATTCATCAACTAAGCCACAGATCAAGGCTTGGCTCAATGTGTGCAAGAGGATGTGCAAGAGGATGTGCAAGAGGATGTGTGGAATTGCCGAATGGATTTTTCGACTGTGGATTCAACTATGCACCAGCTGGTAAAATTGATTTCAGTGATTACTTTTTGGTTGACTAACAAGGTCTCAGAAGAATGTCTCATTTTCTTGTTAGACCAAAAGGCTTTCAAGGTACTAATTTTACTCAACAGATGGATTTAATAACAAAAGAATTTCAATTTCTCAATTTCTCTTCAAATTGATAGCAAGATAATCTTTAAATTCTGCGTCAATGATTTCCAAATGGCTCAATAAATGCAGAAAGCTTTCAAAAGGGAAAAACTGTTCTTATCCAACATCTGGATACGATTTTGTGCTGAAGGGGTAATGCGATGAAAACTGCAAATCAGTGCATAAGGAGTTCGAAAAGCCAAGAGTTTCTTATTTCCGATTGAATATTTTGATGAAAATTGTTACTGGGTAGATTTTAAATACGATTTAATAATAATATTTTGCCATTTAAAAAGCCCCAATGAGACAATATTCAATAAATGATGCGAACGACAACAAAGCAACGACAACAATGTTGTTTCCATTCACAGCGAAGCCGAGAACAGAACTGTGCATCCTTTTGAATCTGGAAATTTCTTGAAATAAAACTGTATCAATGAAAACAAAGTATTCTTTTGTTATTAAATCCATCTATCCATGCTACAGTACTGGACAATGAAATATAATATTAGGTACTTGCAAAAGAAACTGCGGATTATAACTAACATTTGAACAGCCCAAAATTCAATAAGAAAACAACTTTATTCCAAAAGATATTTGTCAATATTATCAACTATGTTCTTACATTTTTTGCGTAGACTTCGAATGTCTGTTTCGAAAAATTCGGGGTCCCGTGACGCAAAGTAGTCTTGCACCCAATTTTCAACTTCTTCAAGATTGTTAAACTTTAGATTTGCAAGAGAGTGTTGCATAGACAGGAACAAGTGGTAATCTGAGGGAGCAACATCAGGCGAATAGGGCGGTTGAGACACAAGTTTCCAGCCTAATTCTTCTATGGTGTTTTGAGCCAAGTTTGATTTGTGTACCCGGAAATTGTGAGCGAGTAAATGGATTGTCTTTGGATTAACACCTCTTTCTCGTAGAATTTCATCAACTTTCTTCAGCTGTTCGGCGTAGATTTGTGAAGTTATAGTTTTTGAAGATTTTCGTAATTCAAAATAAACGCTTCCTTTCATATTCCAAAAGACCGATAGCATAACAAATACAATATCCATGAGGCTCGTCTTCCAAGCTGTCATCCCCTTCACGAAAACGTCGAAACCATTCCTGGCAAGTCCTTTCACTCAAAATTTTTTCTCCGAATGCTTCACAAAGCTTCCGATGCGACTTCGATGCTGATCTCTTCATTTTGAAGTCATAGAGAAGACACGCCCGCAACACGAGCTTTTGATCCGTCATCTTGGACCCAAGATTATGTAATATTTAATGATAGCAATAGTTGTGAAAATAATTAAAATGAATAAGCAATAATAATACAGTATAATACAATTTAAACCGAACCATCACACTTTCAAATAAAAAAAACTTTGGTCCTCGGAAGTCATCCGCAGTTTCTTTTGCAAGTACCTAATATTTGAAAAACGATCGTCACTTTCGCGCGTCTATGCAGTCGCCCATGGAAATATTGTTGAAAGCAATCTAGAGAATAAATTTACTAATGTTAATTTTTGTTTTTTCGATGAAAAGTTTTTTAAACCATGAGTTTTATTGGGTCGGGCAATTTTGGGTCACCTTGTACATTACGATACAGTACAGTTATTAGAACCAGCTTTGTTCTAGTCCTGAATAGGTTATTTAGTAGTCTGTTTCTAACTGGATAGTGTTCCTCTCTTTTCTGAAATGTGAGAATTTGATTGGTACTTGTTTGTTGCACTTCTTGACCAAATTTGCATTTAAATTAATGAAACTCAAGCGTCACAGTATCCTTAAGTTACACAATTTCCATATTATCTCTGATTTACATTCTGGATAAGACTGCTTTTCTGCCTTTCTGTCAATTTTGCAACTTTGTTTGAAAACGCCACTTTTCTGGATCCTCGAGCGGATCCAGAAAAGTGGATCCGCTTGAGGATCCAGACTTCTGGACTTTCTAAATCTCTTTCTCTTTCTTTTTCTATCGTAATCTTGTCTTTCTTTTTTTTATCCAACCTATCTACTTTTTCGGGGGTGGAACAAATGCGAGCTTCTTTTGCGCACCTGGACATTTGCGCGCCTTTTTTTTGCTGGAAAAGGCCTTAGGAAAGGTCGTAGAGCTTCAAAAACGTTTTCATAGAAGGGAATCGTATGCGTAGATTCCGTATTTCGACAAATCAGACCTCGCTGACACGCCAAATTTGGGCTAAAAGGCAAAAACTACGCAACTTAAAGCTTTTCCGTAGCTTTTTTACTTCT